CCCCAAAACCCCAAAACCCCAAAACCCCTCAATGTATTGCTCTAGATAATTTTGATAGTGGCTAAAAATCTAGAATAAATATTAACACAGAAGTATGATCAACTTTATTTTAATTAAGAGATGATATTTTTAAGTTAAATCAATAATAATAAATTTAGAAGAAGAAACAATGGTGAAGCTAGAGCGATCCTTACTAGACAGATATGTGAATGGAGCTTTCTTGAACAAGCGTCAAATTGGCAGACCTATTAAGTACAACATGAGATCAAAGGGACGTCAAGGGTAAGTTATCGCATTCCCACACAGAGTTAATCACTCGCCGCATCTTTGCGCCATGGATATACTAACCTTTAATAAATAGATGGTTGGAGTTGGTGTTTACCCCACGCAATCAATTCGAACAATTGGTCTCAAGAGCCATCAGATTCACCCACCCATACTTAGCTTTTGTCACCTATCGTTTCCACGTTGAGAAAGCCAGAGAAATAGGTAATTTGATTCTATCCTTTGCCAATATCTTGTTTTACAATTTAATATTATATAGGTATTAGAATTGAAGACTTCTATATGAATAAGTTCCACAAGGAGCCATACATTCAATTCCACATCTACGCTTAATATTTCCACCCTGACTCCCTTCTTGAAAGAGTTAGAGATGTTAACTTCTACAGAAGACCAAGAACTCTCTTCAAGGGATTCAAGGTACCCGATTGGGCCACCGCTGAGAAGAGACACGGTTGGGAACTCGATGCCTACTCAAGACAAGCTTGGGAAAATGCTCTTCATGATTTGAACTCTGAGTGGACTCCTTAACAATTCACAGGAGAGAGACAAGAGCCAAACGTTATTGAATGGTTCAGATTTGAGCAATGGGGTAAAGGTTTATCAGCTAGACTTTTCTACAACGAAGTCCCCAAGCCAACCTGGTTCAGATACGGTGGTCATATGGATAACCTTGAGAAGGATGTCTACTCATTCACCCATGCTGATCAAGAGCACAAGTTCGTATTCGGTATTGACTCAACAACCCCAGAGGGAAAGGCTCTCTTCAAGAAGGAATGGGAGACTCTTTCACAAATGGCTCCAGAGCTCATTAGAAAGGAAGACATCGTCTACCCACACGAGCAACAAGCTCAAATCTCAAGTGAGCCCCACTTCAGAAGAGTCTGGCAATTCTACAGAGAACACATGTTCAAGGTCAGACTTGCTTACCTCGTAGAAGAAGGTCAAGTTTCTCAAGAAGACTTCAACCACTTCCAGAGATTCACCAGCCTCAACAAGACTCCAACCTTCAACCTATATCTATTCGGAAGACTCGGTCAACTCCCACACCTCGCTAACGATGCTGACTTCCAAGGCACCTGCAGAGTTATGGAAAAGCTCGGCTTAGACAAGATTGAAATCGATAGAAAGTCAGCTTAACCATACGAGTAACAATTCTGGGACCAATATGACGTTGTTCAAGAACTCAACGAGGAGGAAATGAGAAGAGAACTCCCAGCTTTCGTAACTGATCCATCCAACCAAGCTAAGGTCGAAGCCCTTATTGCTGGAAGAAGACAATAACTCGGCCAAGAGGAGACCCACAAGCTTGCCAGCGCTTGAAAAAGTGCGATTCTTCACTTAGTCTGCCGTTTAGACTAACAATAATTTAAACAATATTTAAAACAACCCCTAATCAAATGTTCTCTCACTATAAATTATATTGCCAATGTGGGGGTTTTGGGGTTTTGGGGTTTTGGGG